TTCCCACAATAATATCACGTGTTAGTGTACTGATTTTACTGAATAACTATATGGTATACACATTGTACTATTACCAGCTTGGATTTATTCTTTATTTTTTAATTTTTTATTTCCTATTTAATTAATTATTTTTGTTTTATGCTACGTACGTACGTACTACACAGAGGCTAATTTACTGTTCTTGGAATCTCCAATTGGTGTTGGCTTTTCGTACACCAACACCAGCAGCGATTATGATAATTTGGGTGATAACTTTACAGGTCAGCATAATACTACATAATATGAATGCCTTAATCCAAAAACTTGTGGGCCAGTTAAGTTTGTGATTATTATAACAATGTTTCATAAAAGAATATTATATTGTTTGAAAATATATATACATATATTTTTAATTGGACTGTATGTATCCTCAATGAGCAGCACAGGATGCCTATGCTTTCCTCCAAAAGTGGTTCCTCAAGTTCCCTTCCTATCGTGCAAGACCATTTTATATTGCTGGCGAAAGTTATGCAGGTTATGTATATATATATATATATATATAAAAAAATTAAAATTATATAATGTTATAAGAATATCAATATCTCACGCCAACAACTCTTTTGGGCAGCATATAAATATTTCAATAAATAAACATATATTTATAATTTTACTTAATTAATCAAATAGGGAAATATGTGCCTGAGCTAGCAGAGGTTATTATTGACAAGAACACAAAATCCTCCTTGTTCATCAACCTAAGAGGCATTCTGGTATGCTTATTGAATTATAATTACTTGAGCATATATAAATAAAAATGTAGTTATAATTTTTAATTTTATGCATATTTTGTGTGTTTTGATAAATTTATTTTAACAGCTGGGAAATCCCGAAACTCACGATGCCGAGGACATGAAAGGCATAGTGGATTACGCGTGGAGCCATGCAGTCGTGTCAGACGAGACCTACAAGATTATCGAGCAGTCGTGCGATTTTTTCAGTAATCACACATATGACAATCTTGCTTGTTCGGGGGCGGTGGATGAATTATTTAAACAGTATAACGAGATTGATATGTACAGCCTCTACACACCCATTTGCATAAGCAATTCATCCGTTTCAGATGAAAAGTCGAGTCTAGTCATAGTCAGAGGCTCCTCAAAGATGGTACGTTAACGTTATGTTTTTGCAAGTGCATACCAAAAACTTGATTTTATGCGAATATCAAGAAAATTTTATACACCACATATTTTCACTAATCACTTGTTCCAATATTACTTATTTTTACTGCAGTAATTAATCAATCACTTGTATATGTGACTATAGATGCCCAGAGTCATGGGTGGTTACGACCCATGCTTGGATAACTACGCGATATCATATTACAATCGGCCGGATGTTCAGAAAGCCCTTCACGTTAGTGACGGAATTACCCTCAGGAATTGGAGCATCTGCAAGTAATTAACTAATAATTAACCAAAAAATTTCTCTATACTATTTGCCTTTTTTATTTTTTATTGCGAATTGACTAACGGCACTTGATTTGATTTGGTCATTTAAAATGTAGCATGACGTTATTTTATGGCTGGTCGGATTCAAAACCATCTGTGCTTCCCATATATAAGAAGCTCATAGAGGCAAAACTACGAATCTGGGTTTATAGGTAGCTTTGTTTTCGAATTAATTGCATTATGGTTTTTATTTATATTCAAGAATATGCCTAAGTTTTTTTATACGATTTTTTCTCGTGCACAGTGGTGATACGGATGGCAGGGTACCCGTTTTGTCGACCAGGTATAGTTTGAGCTTGTTAGAACTTCCAATTTTGGAGGCATGGAGACCTTGGTACTATAAAAAACAGGTGATCAATAAATTACAATTTTAAAATATATTTAAATTCTGAAAAAAAAAAAAAAAATATTTCTTCTTACATTTGATGTAAACTAGGTTGCTGGATGGGTTCAAAAGTACAATGGGCTTACATATGTGACAGTTAAAGGAGCTGGACATGCTGTGCCAGTATTTAAGCCGGCCGAGTCCCTTGCGTTATTTGCTTCGTTTCTTGCAGGGGAAACTCTGCCTTCTAAGAGATGAAACACGAAAAACATATATTTTGGACAAATAAAGCATCTCGTGCTATGCTAAACTCAGCTTAATTTCACTACAGTCCACATACACTTATGTAATATTGACAGATATGCCAATAAAGAAAACCATAATAAATATACTTGTGACTTTGTACTGTTCAGCTCAGTTTTTCTTTTGTTGTGTAGTTGTGTTTCATCACTTCTGTTTTTTCGTCAAAGAAGGACATGAAAATAATCAATATTGTACAACGCGAGATGATGACACAATGGATTAATCACATGAAACACAAACCAAACTTCATATTCACATGCGGGCACTGGCAGATCCATGTGGAAGCACTTGGGGCACGTGCCCCCACTAAGCGTGTGTATGGGTTTGGTTTTTTATGTGTATATATTGTAGAGAAAATTAGAGGAAGGACAAAATACATATTTTTATCAAGCAGGTTGTAATAATTTGGATATTGTTTAACGTTTGTTTAGTTAATCTGACCTGTTTTATTTTCACAAACATATAAAAAAAGGAGCTTGTTAGTATGTATTAAAAGTATTGTCATAAAAAGCCAAACTCACACACACTAACGTGTATTTTATTTTATTTTTTCAAAAAAAAAATCAGAATTTCAATACTTGACAATGTTAATGTGAGAACAAAGTGCCCTTAAAACAGATTGACCTCGTATAAGCGTTTGTTCTCAAGATACAATGAAAAAACCGAATCAAATCCGACGAAATAGAATTATACTTGGACCAAAATACTTAGGAAAAAAACTTTTAGGATTATTGTATTTCATTTTCTTGGTGTGTCTTCCTCTTACAACCATATGACCTATTTATGTATGTACCAAAACAAAGAGTAATGAATGGCCTACGTTTTTCTTTCATTCAATTTTTTTTTTTAATTCTTTTTTTGATTAAAGAATCAACTGAATGTTGACTGTAGTGAAATTAAACCTATTTATGTATGCACCAAAGGGGATGGATCCAATGAGACCGCTTCTTAAAATGAGTACGTAAGACTCAATCTTAGCCACTCATTTTGTCTAGATTAAAATTAATTAAAATATACATTAATTAAATAAGAAAATAATTATTAATTGACTCCGGCATTGACCGTTGACTTCCGGCGTTGACCGTTGACTTCCGGCGTTGACCGTTGACTTCCGGTGTTGACTTCCGGCGAGAATCGTTGACTTCCGGTGTTGACCGTTGACTTCCGGCGTTGACCTGTTGTATTGAAATAAATAACCTAGCGACAAAAGATACTTAACCTTGAGTGGTGTAGTGGTTGCATTGCTTGTCTTGCTTCCATGAGGTACCAGGTTCAAATCCTATGGGCTACAATTTTTTTAGAAAAAAAGAATACAACTAACTTAGCAGACAACTAACCTAGCAACAAAACACAACTAACCTAGCAAGAAAGAAATAACATAACAAAAGACAAATGGTCAACGGTCAACGTCGGAAGTCAACGCCGGAGTCAACGGTCAACACCGGAAGTCAACGGTCAACGCCGGAAGTCAACGATTTTTCGCCGGAAGTCAACGGTCAACGCCGGAGTCAACGGTCAATGGTCATAATAATATTTAAATAATTAAAAATAAAGAATTAAATAATAAAAATAAAGAATTAGTATTTAAATCAAGATCTAAATCTTGTGGCTAGGAATGAGTCTCACGTCCTCACTTTAAATAATGGGATGCATTGGAACCAATCCCCCAAAATTAAACCTATTTATGTTTGTAAACGTAGGCCAAAACAGTCCATATAATTCTTTAAACCTATTTATGTGTGCACCAAAACTTGATTCTTTTAACATAATGAATGTCCTACGTTTTTTCTCGTATTACTTAAAATTATGAAAAGTGATAAATGGGAAGGATTGAATTATAAATTTAATCTATCCATAAATAAAATACAAAAATAAAAATAGAATAAAATAAATTAAGAGAATTTTCTAGTTCCTGGTTTCATCTACACCTTCGACAAACTCATCTTATCCATTCTGGTATCAAATCTCATTATGTTATGGAATTACTAGTCATAGGTAACAACACGCTCCGCTACCCGAATTTTTCCTTACTTTTAATTTAACCGCGAGACGCTCTACAATTAAATCTAATTTTTTGTACAGTCTAAAAGACGTTCTCTAGATTTAATACAATTAGCTGCTTTAGAATATAGAAAAATAGGCTAGATTAAGTAGTGAATCCAACCGCTTGGTTCACTTAAATAGGCCGTGTTATCTCCGGTAGTTACCAGCTTCCTGTTGCTACTTATAAATTAAACACATCAACAATTACGGATTGAAGGTCTAACTCTAGCATTAGACATGAAAAGTCCAATCTAAGTGATCAATCTAAATTAGACTCAACAAATCTAAGTTGTTCAGTCAAAATAACACACATAATTCAAAAAAGATAACTCAATAATCAACTATGTAAATTAATCAAAATCGTCAAGTTGTAGGGTTTGACTTTCCCAAAACTAAAAATAAAAACTTAACATAACATAGTAAATAATAAAAGAAATAGAATAAAATTATCCCCTTTCGTGTGCGGGTGCAGCCTCCCTTACTTTTTCTGGCTATGTGGGTGTGGCGACTTTTTTTCTTCCCTCTGTTCGCGTTTTTCTCCGAGGCCTGATGGTATCTCTTTTCTCCTCTTTTTTAATTGGTTCATGGGCCACTCTCCTCAAATTATCGTTTCTTTCTAATTGAAATGGGCTAATTATTTCCAAGTGAATGGGCTAATTCATTCTTCAGCCCATCAAATCTCTCTCTCTCTTTTCAAAGTGGCTGCTATTTAATTGAAATAAGTCCCCATGTAGCCTTATTAAAAGACAACTTTGGGCCAAGTTATGTAGCTTATATTGGGCCGAGTATGCGGCACCAGCTCTGTTGGTAGCAGAATATGGGCCATCCCATACTCTGCTCGCTAAAATTTTGTTTATTGTCATGCCGCCCATGAAAGTACTCAAATATCCTAAAAATAAGACATAAAAATATCATAGAACGTGAATCCATCTAATAAAAAATAAGTCAAAAAATATATAAGTACAACAAAAAATATAAAATGCAAAATTTCTTTTTATATGCTTAATTTTTTCACACTTATATATTTTTCGACTTATTTATTTATGAGATGGATCCAAATGCTATGGTATTTTTATGTCTTATTTTTAGGATATTAGAGTATTCTCGTGAGATCGACTTTTGCTCGTCACTACTACTAGTTAGTAGTGGTTAGTGGAGGAAAAATATAAATTCTAATTTGCTACACTGCGACGCGCAGTCAATATACATTGTGATACGACATGCACGGAATTATACAAATAGTTAAATCTTGCTAATATTTATTACATTATATATTACCAAAAAACATAACACGACATGATACGAAATATTTATTTATTTTAAAAATAAAAGAAATAAGTGGAGAATTTTTTTTTTTTTAAAAAAAAAGTAGAAAAAAATAAAAAGGCCGGATTCTCAGAATCCGTTTTTATTTATTTATTATTTATTATTTTTATTATTTTTTATTTTTTGTTAAAAAATGGATTTTTAAATCCGTTTATATTTTTTATTTTTTTAATTTATTTTTTATTTATTTTTTAATTAATAATATAAAAAAAATTTTAAACGGATTTTAAAAATCCGTTTTTATTTTTTATTTATTTTTAAATTAATATTATATAAAAAAACTTAAAAACGGATTTTGAAAATCCGTTTTTAATTTTTATTTTTATTTTTTGTTTTTTAAAAGATAACGGGCGATTACACTATAATTAACCGAGATTGTACTAAGTCGACTTCAATTGGACTAATTCGAGTTCGATTACACTATAATTGACCGAGATTGTACTAAGTCGACTTCAATTGGACTAATTCGAGGTCGATTACACTATTATTGACCGAGATTGTACTAATTGGACTAATTTGACTTCAATTCGACTACTTCGAGTTCGATTACACTATAATTGACCGAGATTGTACTAATTTGACTTCGTTTAGACTAATTCGAGGTCGATTACACTATAATTGACCGAGATTGTACTAATTTGACTTCAGTTGGACTAATTCGAGTTCGATTGCACTATAATTGACCGAAATTGTACTAATTCGACTTCAATTGGACTAATTCAAGATTGATTACACTATAATTGACTGAGATTGTACTAATTTGACTATAATTGGCCGGGATTACACTAGTTCGAGGTCGACTAAACTAGTACAATCAACCTCGAATTAGTCCAATTGAAGTCAAATTAGTACGATCTCGGTCAATTATAGTGTACTGGACCTCGAATTAGTCCAATTGAAGTCAAATTAGTACAATTTCGGTCAATTATAGTGTAATCGACCTCGAATTAGTCCAAATGAAGTCAAATTAGTACAATCTCGGTCAATTATAGTGATGGACCTCGAATTAGTCTAATTGAAGTCGAATTAGTACAATCTCGGTCAATTATAGTGTAATGGACCTCGAGTTAGTCGAATTGAAGTCAAATTAGTCCAATTGAAGTCAAATTAGTACAAACTCGGTCATTTATACTGTAATGGATCTCGAATTAGTCCAATTGAAGTCAAATTAGTATAATCTCGATCAAATTAGTACAATCTTGGTCAATTATAGTGTAATGGACCTCGAATTAGTCGAATTGAAGTCGAATTAGTACAATCTCGGTCAATTATAGTGTAATCGAACTCGAATTAGTCCAATTGTAGTCAAATTAGTCCAATTGAAGTCAAATTAGTACAATCTCGGTCAATTATAGTGTAATCGACCTTGAATTAATACAATTGAAGTCAAATTAGTACAATATCGGTCAATTATAGTGCAATCGAACTCGAATTAGTCCAATTGAAGTCAAATTAGTACAATCTCGGTCAATTATAGTGTAATCGACCTCGAATTAGTCTAAATGAAGTCAAATTAGTACAATCTCGGTCAATTGTAGTGTAATCGACCTCGAATTAGTACAAATGAAGTCAAATTAGTACAATATCGGTAAATTATAGTGTAATCGAACTCGAATTAGTCTAATTGAAGTCGAATTAGTACAATCTCGGTCAATTATAGTGTAATGGACATCAAATTAGTTAAATTGAAGTCAAATTAGTACAATCTCGGTAAATTATAGTATAATCGACCTCGAATTAGTCCAATTGAAGTCAAATTAGTACAATCTCGGTCAATTATAGTGTAATCGAACTCGAATTACTCCAATTGAAGTCAAATTAGTACAATCTCGGTCAAATTAGTACAAATCTCGGTCAATTATAGTGTAATGGACCTCGAATTAGTCGAATGGAAGTCGAATTAATACAATCTCGGTCAATTATAGTGTAATCGAACTCGAATTAGTCCAATTGAAGTCAAATTAGTCCAATTGAAGCCAAATTATTACAATCTCGGTCAAATATAGTGTAATCGACCTCGAATTA